TATTTGAATGAGTAACTCTTGAGGCGCGCCCTTGAGTTTGTTATTAATTTATTCTTTCGATTTCAAAACATCCAACTCTTTATCTTCAACTTAGTCAGTCAATTTCCGAAAGAACTGAGTTCTTGGAATCTCGCATTCCTTGAATTCTTGAGTGACAAGCTCTTGAGGCACGCTCTTGGGTTGCTTGTCAATCACCCTTTCGTCTTTTTCTCAAACTTCCAATCTATTCAACCTCACCTTTTCGTGGTTGTTACCACGAACTACGGACGCTCTGATTCTTTATTCATTCTTGAATATAAGATACATAGGCACAAGATTGCGATGATCTTGGCGAGCACACTTATATCCATCTTCCATTTTCCCCCATCCTTTCCCGTAGTCGAACTACGACGCTCTGATTTCTCATTCTCGTCCGAATGAGCATACGTAGGCACAAGGGCCCCAATCCTTGGTGAGCACCCTATCTTCTAACCACCCATCTCTCCTTAGCGTCTTTATACTGTTAACCTACCAATTCTACCTTTAACAACGAGAAGAAAACCAGTAAACCTAAACAACACTCCCCACAATTACCTTAAGAGGTTCCCGTCGAGTACGACGGACGTGAGGGGTGCTAATACCTTCCCCTCACATAACCGACTCCCGAACCCGGAACATGGTTGCGACAGCCCTGTTCCTATCCTTTCATTTTTAAGAGGTTTTCTCGATAATTTCCTCTCCCGTTTATTCGGGAAAAATAAAGTTCGGTGGCGACTCTGTCGTACCGCATTTCCGCGCCTTTCGCGCGAGGGTCGTTTTCTCCGAAATATCTCCATGATTTTTCGAGGTGCGACAGTGTGTGCTTAGGATAATGCTGACTGCTAAATAAACTACTTAGGGACTTCTAAAGGGTGAGATCTTAAGGCTATGGCGTAACAAGTACTCAAATCCATCTCTATATTCGGGAGACTTAAGGTGTTCAAACAATATCGATTTTGTGGATTCTTCCCATGTCTCCATAATCTATCCTAAACTTCATCTATAGCCTAAAACTTTCAGAAGGTGCACCTAATTTCAGAGTCATAATTTTTGTTATGGCTCAAGAAGAAGGGAAAATCAATTAACAACATAAGACCATGCATAAAGACTCGACAGCACGTCCAATGACTCAACTAATAATTAAACTAGAAATCCTAGCAGCATTAAATAAATGACAAAAAGATAAATCTATATAGACATCGATAAAATTAAAGTAGTAAAGCTATTCCCCCGCACTTAAACCAAATATTGTCCTTAGTGTTTTGATGAAAGGTGGAAAAAGAAAAGAAAGAACCAGTAAAACTACTAATGTGGGCCACAACAGCCAACTGCGCTCTGATCCTTTCCTCGTTATCCCTGTCTTCGCTGACCACTTCTACTTCGGCGTCTTGTACTATGAGGTATCTGAATTTGCTGAAACTGCTCTTTCCTGAAGCAGCTCATCATATTGCACACTTTCGACGGAAGTACCTGCAAAAGTGTTAGAAAAATACGGTGCGGTGTGTGAAGGTGGAACCTGACCTTGTGAAGAACAACGAGGAGGTCAGTTATGGACAGGAGAGACATGCTCTCTCTTATCATACCCATCATCGATGTCACCACCAGCGACATTCGCAGGAATGTTCGTGGGCACCGGCTCAACTTTTTTTGCATGGCTTGTATCATGGTTAGTTGTGCATAAATTTTTGACAGATGTGAAAAATCAAAATAAGATAATAATTAAAATTTTCAAATGAAATGCATAAAAAATATAAAATTTGTGGGTTTCCTCCCACGCAGCGCTTTGTTTAATGTCGAAAGTTCAATGACTCAGGAATGTAAGCACTCATGGTGGTTCTCTCGAGAATGACTCCTCGATCGAACTTTCAATAATCTTTGGTTTCCATGGCCACTTATCAAGCTATTTTTCATATCCCTCACCTTTTCTTTTCTTTCTTCTATGGGGTGATTCATTCTTCTGAACTTGTGGTGGTGGTTCTGGCTCTATCCTGAGTATCAACTTTTCAAGTTTGGATTTAGTTCTTTCACCCAGCACCTCAAAATCTAACATTACCCTCTTGATAATGAATATTTCCCTAGTTTCATGGTCCTCTGTTTTTCTCTTTTTATGTATGACCTCAAACAAGGGTGCATTGGTGTGGATATTTTCCAATACCTCCACATATAATTTGGATTGGGAGTCTACTTTAGGTTCCACAAGCTTTCACAGGAAAGGAATCGGTTGGGTATAGGGAGGAGGAAAAACAATAGGTGCTTCCTTCTCCACCTCTTCGACAACCTTCCTTTTAAGTGGTGTCGGTAGATTTTTCTCAATCTCTACTCTTTTCTCACCAGAACTCTCTTCAACCTCATTATCATTCTCCTTAGGATTTTTGATTTATTTTTCACTTGTCTATTACAATATCCACATGTCTCTTAGGGGGGGGGGGTCCTAGAGGTGTATGTACAAGCAGGGAGATTTGAGTCTCCAATGCCTTGCTGTGAGTCGCAAGGGACTAAACCATAATGTTCAGCTGCTTAAGGTTTTCATAAATGTGGAGATGTTGTTTTCTAAACTCCTTATTCTGGAGAGTTTGTGCAACCATAAAGCGCTCCATCATAGATTCTATCTTAGAGTGAGTAAGCGTCGCAATGGATTATTGTGATTCCTAAATGAAATCCTCTATTGGTATTTCGACGTTGGATTTATGGCACTCTTTCGGTCCCTTAAAATACTGGGAGTGTTAATTGTAGAGGAAATTTAGGTGATACATAGTAATTGAGACAAGAATGTCGTAACCTATATGGTGTAATAACGAAATGAAAATATTGACTGTTGGTCCCCGGCAACAATGCCAAAAACTTAAAGCGTCCGCAAGTGCAAGAAAATATCGAAGTAATATAAAAGATTGTCAAACCCACACAGACTAATGTCAACTTATCATTATCTATTGTTGTTATGTAAAGCTAAGGCTAATAAAATCTGAATTTGGGAACACTAAAACTAGAATTAAAACTATATTAAGATTTAGGAAATATATCAGAAAAGAGAGACTGGAATGTGGATTCCATCGTACCTCAGGGACCTAATAATTCGTTGGCGTTGGTTTAATTTTAAATTACTTTCAGTAGAAAATACTAGTTTAAAAACCTTTATCTCACACTCTCGCGCTATTGATTAAAGCTATACTTCTAGACCATTATATTTTTCTTCTCGCTCGCCCATTCGAGTCAAGAAGTATTTTTTGAAAACTAAATAATTCCTAGTTAATGCCTAAAGCACTCTCGTTGTATTTAGGATTAATGCATGGTTTTTACTATTCGGTCAAGCCTCACACCGTTGTGCTATTCACTCAAACCTTTATTATTTTTCACTGTCGTGCAAAACCTTTTAGAATTAAACTTAAAAACCAAAACCAAAAAAATAATTTACGAAAAGGTTTACGCCAATTTATTACTGATATCCGACAGAACAACGACCTTCACATACCGGACTCAAGAAATTTAGTCGGACATGATTACGAAAATAAATAAATAATTTAAAGCAAAAACATAACAAGAATTTTAAAATGATTTAAAGCGATGGTTGCAAAATAAAGTAAAGGGATAAAAGCTTAAAACAATAACAATGGCAGAATTTGTAAAGCAGAATATAAATGGCGGAAAATAAATAGCAGTAAAGGTAAATGAACCCGAAACGAAAATTGAAATTAAATTGAAGGCAAGAATTTTGATCCAAGAAAGTTAAAATGGTGGAAACTTAAGATCTAAAACTAATGGTGCAAAAGTCTCTTGATGTTAGAGACTACCGCTTTTCAATACTGAACATATGCTTAAAACTAAACTTCCAAAACTTGTACAAAACTTGGATGCCAAATTCCATGTTAAACTTATAATATGTAGTGTTATGATGCTAAAAAAACTAATGTCAAAGGAGTGGGAATCGTGGGAGAAAATATAGAAGAGTGTGACTGGAATGAGCCAAGTTAGTTTCCTAATTGTTCGGCACTGCGTGTCCATGGTGAATGTCGTTAGGTCCATGGAGATGTCGCGAGGTTCATGGAGAATTCCATAGGCCTTAAAATGTGGAAAACATGGCTATGAGGTCCATGGAGAATGACACGGGGTCCATGGCAAACGACATGCACCAGAAAATGGTAAATTTTGTACTTTTTCTTCATTTCCTTGCTCTTTTCCCAGTTTTCTTGCATGAACGCTCTTATTCGACACTAAATTGCATGTAAATTGGGTCAGAATATACAATACATTTTCGCGTTATCAAGCACTCCACAATCGGCTTCCAAAAATCAAACCTTCTGTGGTTCCCTCCAACTATAATCCCGAGGAATTTAAACGATAATCGTCTAGTTTTACAAGCTAGAAACTGTGCACCTACATCTATAAAAGATGCCTCAACCCCCACTCCAAATATACGACTTTTCCATAAATTAATTCTCAATCCTGAAATTAATTTGAACCCTCTCAAGATTGCTTTGATCCTCCACATATTAGACCAAGAATCATCGAACGCTAGAACCGTTTCGTCAGCAAATTGTACAAGACTAATCTTATTCTCCCCATTTATCTTAAACCCACTGAATACATTCAAGCTAACAGCTTGCCTAACCAACAATGCTAGTCCTTCCGTCATAATTGAGAAAAAGCTAGGGAGACAAGGGATTGCCTTGTCTAAGACCTCGCGATGCCTTAAAATCTTTAGTTGTACTCCCATTCACCAAAACTGATAAGAAGTTGTTAAATACTCCTCCCCTAATCCATTTTAATCATTTATCACCGAAGTTCATGGCCTTTAAGAGCTTTTCCAAAAAAATCCCACTTACTACAGTCGTACGCTTATGCGTCCACCTTAAACATTACACAACTTTTATTCTTCCTTTTGGCCATATCCAATAATTTTTTTATGACGAGAACTCCATCCAACAATTGTCGTCCAACAATAATAGCCATTTGAGAACTAGAAATTAATCTGCCAATTACCTTCCCTAGTCTTCCAACCAGTATCTTAAAGATAACTTGATAGACGCACCTAACAAGACTAATGAGCCAGTACTCTCAACACCAATGACATCCCAACAACGTTTTAGGAATTCGAGATTAAAATCGTCGGGCCCCAAACTCTTATTACCATCACTTTCACTTAAAGCTTCCTCTATTTCTTCTGATGTAAAAGGTTGTTGCAGCAGTACCTGATCTTCAGCAGTGAGCTTAGGAAGATCAAATAGGTCAAGCTTTCGTGAATCTTACTTCAAATAATTCTTTGGCAGCTTTTTTTACACTACATGCATCCTCAACCAACCCGTTACCACCCTTTACCACTGAGATAGAATTTCTCCTGAATCGCGCCTTCATCATAATATGGAAATAACAAGAATTTACATCTTCTTCTTTAACCCAATTCATTATGGATTTCTGTTTGGTCATGCTCTTTTTTAATACCAGGTTGTTCTAGATGTCTTCTTGCACCTTGCATCTTCGAGCTAATTCTACCTCCAAAACTACACTACTCGCAGCAGCCATATCGTCTTCAATGTCATTCATGATTTCCACCTTCATTTATTTTAAAATCAACCCAACCAAACACATTGTAATTCCACCAACGAAGCCTCTCCCTCAATGTTTTTAATTTCTCCACAAGGATCTTCCCATGACTTCCTTCGACCTTACTGGAATTCCACACTTCCTTAATAAAGTCCAAGAAATCGGGATGTTCATACCAACACCTGAACACTTTGGATGGTTTTGGCCCCTTTCGTTTTTGTTGGATTTCAGCCATATAGGTCTATGGCCCGAAATGTCCTGATCATGCACAAATTACGCCACAACCTTCCACTCCTAAATCAATCCCTCTGATATAAGGAATCTATCCAGTATACTCTTGCACCCACCATTCGAATAAAACCATGAAAATCAGTTTCCCACCACAAGTAAATCCACAAACTCCATAACATCAATGAAGGTGGAAAAGTCTTCTGTTTCAGAACTATTTGGTTTACCCTTCCCTTTCCTTTCATCCACAACTTTAATGGCATTAAAGTCTCCCCCTACAACCCATTCCCCAAATGGTAGCTTCCCTTTCCATTCGATGATTTTTGACCATAACCTTCGCTTAGCCACTAAATTACACAGCGAGTAAACATTTACCAGGTAGCAATTAATCCTTTTCCCCATGCAATTGAGTCCCAAGTAACCAACACATCTAAAGCTTAGTATTGGACATCAAACATCCTTATTCCAAATTGTTAGGATGCACCTAGACCTTCCTAATGCCTCCTTTTTCGACAATCACAGTTTCAGTCACCTCAAATACTTATAATCATTATATCATCATCCTGTTGCAACTTTGACTCTTGGATAAAACATACATCAGTTTTTTTATTTGATAACAGTTTCCGGATCCTCCTCCTTTTAACAGAAGATCCACACCCTCTGAAATTAAAAGATACCACGTTCATGATCCTGCCGTTATAGCCACCCTCATTCCCTCAGGTAATTTCCTATCCCTGGATTCCATTTCTCTGATTATACCTTCGAACAATGCATCGTCCTCATCTCCACCCCCAGATCCTTTATGATTTGCCAAAGCTTAGCAGGCACACGCTCCAATGATTTTCTTATACGGGAGTTTCCTTGATTCACATCACCGTCACTTATCGATTCACCACATAAAATAGATCCACTTGAGAATTGCGAGAATGCTTTCCCATCCACCAATTTGTTCCAATCTCAAATGGTATTTTTTTATTTGCGAGAACAAAATATTTTTTAATTGTTTTTTTCAATACAAACTTATTATATATGAGTTTCTTAACTTGTGTCCATAAGGCACAAGTTAATATTACCCTATTTATTATTAATTTGTTTTTAATCAATGCTCTAAATTTAATTATAGATTGTTTTTAATCATTGATTAAAAATAAATTAATGCTCTAAATGTAAAATAAATTTTAAAGTAAAAATATCTTACTATATATTAGTTGACATTTAGAGGCTATTTAATGTGTAAAGTGAATTTATTAATTTATTTTAATTAATTAGCATCTCCTCACCAATATTAATTAATACAAAGATTTTTTTAAACAACTAACATTAAATGTGGATAGATATTAGATGACATTTACTAGTATTTGAGGCTATCATATGCATACATACGTTTCCATTTGGGATTGGATAAAGTAGGTTAAACTATTTGAAAATGTTCACTTACTTATAAAAAATATTGTTTTGTCTAATAGTTTACTAGTAATTGACAGAGAAATCTCATAAAAAGAAAATTACTAGAGTGTGGCACTTTCAATTATTTTAAAATAACATAATTTAAATTATACATGCACTAAGATAATCTCAACTATTTATTGTAACATATACCGTTGGGATTGTAACCGGGTCACGCTCACAGTGGGAATTGTTTTTTCGAAACAGAATATCAACAAAATATTAACTTTCTTCTTTTTTAAGTTTTTTTTTTTTTTTTTTTTTACTTTTTACACATTATAAAAAATTAATAATTATTGTTGTTTTTCAAATAATAATTTTTCTTTTATCAATAATATCATTAATTATTTGTTACATTTATTTCATTTTTTTCTCTGTAATAAATAATTAAGAATGATTTCATTAATTACCTAATTAACTAATTACCCCCTCCCAAAATAAATAAACGTGAGATTTGATATTTTCACACATATTTATAAAAGAGATTAATTAAAAATATACTGTCATTCTGTAAAGTGTAAAATTATTTTACACTATCATATAATTAGAATAAGTAATTTTGATACAAGAGAAAAGAGAAACATGAAAAAAGTAATTATTAAAATAATTTAATAGTTTATTTTTAATTCTATAATTATGTATTAAAATAATTCATTCTAATTATATGACAGATTAAAGTAGATTTATACTGACAGTGTAAAGTAGTTTTACAGTGACAACGTATTTCAAGTAATCTATTCATAAAATGTAATAAATGAGGCTGAGAGAATAACAATTTTATCAAATGATTCTTATTGATTATAATTTTTTTAAAAAGCAAATGGAATTGCAATTTTATCAAATGATTCTTATTGATTATAATTTTTTTAAAAAGCAAATGGAATTGAAACGAATATAAGGGATATTCTGCCCTTAGAAAGATTATAGGTCATTAAGAAAATCCTCAACCAACACAAGACTAGTTTAAACTCTCAAAGGATCCATGCAAAAGACTAAAAAATTGAGGTTGGAATAAGGAATTTCACCTAGACAAGACTATTTCCACGCATAGAATTTAATATTCCAGCAAATATCGTTAAAACAACAAACTTCATTTTTAAAAATAAATTATTCCTAGCCCTTCAAAAGACACCAAATTACCGTCAACCAAATAGAGCCGAACCTCAATTTCCCGCCTCTGTTACTACTTATACCACACCAATCCATAAAAATGACCATATACACCCAAAAAATAAACTAGTGCAGTCACATCATTCTCCCATACTATCCCAAACAGAGGCTGCCATAGAGCATTCAAAGAAGGAGTGCAGTAAATCTTCATCCAACTCTTTGCAAAAAAAAAACATAATACCTGTCAATGTTGCGAGCTCCTCTCTTAAATAGTCAGTCCTTCGTCGCGATTCTTTTCCAAAACAATCTCCACCCAAAGATTTTTATTTTCGCTGGCAAATTGATCTTCCACAAGACATCAAAGCCATTGGCCTGATCAATATGCATAAGCCCCTCCACGCTTCCTTTCATCATCAGTTGGTACACTTTTCTAGCATTGTAAATTTGAGCGTTACCAATTTTCCAGCGCGAAATGTCTTTCGCTCCCCATTCTGGCAAAACAGATGCTATCAAATCATTCAATTTCTGAAAAGTAACTGCTTCCAAAACTTGAATCGTTAAAGGGACTCCCAAGTCACCCCACTGTCAAACCCCATCACTCCAAGAGCCCAACGAGAACATTGTACTATCTTTACAACTGTTGCTCTCATACAGAATCCGAAAAACAGTCTGCAAATGAAGAGGGACCAAGCCAAGATGCAGTCCATAATGGAATTGATTTTCCTTTATTAAGAATGTAATTCCTTGTGTCGAAACAAGTGTAGCTCGACAAAAATAAGTATGTGTTAAAATTAGCCTTGTGTGTGTGTGCGTGTGTCGAGTTGTGTTAGATATCAAAATGTCGAAGCATGTTGCTTGACACAGAATTTTGACTTAGAAAAAAATAGAAATTTTGGACTTTTGTAATTTTGGGTTTTACCTTAGGGATCAAGGTAGCTCAATTATAAATAGATGGAGTAACCCCTATTTGAGTAAGAAGAATAGAGAATAATCTTGTAACACACAACAGAAAGTGCAGTTACACAGTTGAATAATATTTTTTCTCAGTTTGAGAGTAGAGAGTTACTTTTCAGAAATCATTTCCTCTTCCCCTATTTTGTCAAACCCTAATCTTCTTTCCTATTTAATTTTCTTTCTATCTTCTTTCATTAACAATTGTTGCGCATAATCATTTTTGCAATCAAGGTGTGATTGTTTCACTTGAGTGAAGAGTGAAGAAAAAATGATTTCGATTAGGTTAATTGATTCAGAATTCTCAAATTTTTGGGTTAATTATAACATCTGGTATCAGATCACTGGCTAAGCGATTCGTTGGAAGAAAATCACGATGGCAATGAATCATCCAAACAAGTATTTTCCGGCGAGCCTTCTGATTCTCAAGAACAATAATTATAAGAATTGGTGCAAGTAGATGAAGGTGGTTTTCTTTTATCAAGATCTTTGAGATCTTGCAAAGGAAGGAGTAACACTGCTTGCAGAGAACGTGATAAATCAAGAAAAGACTGCATAAAAAGAATTGAAGAAGAAAGATTATAAATCTCTCTTTATAATTCATCAATGCGTTGATCTAAATAATTTTGAAAAGGTTAGAGATGTAGAAGCAGTAAAATAAGCATGGGAAATCTTGGAGAAATCGTTTTGAGGCACAGGGAATGTGAAAGAGGTGAGGTTATAAACTTACAAAAGGACGTATGAATTGCTTCGGATGGAATAATGTGAAAGCATAATTGTTTTCTTCACTAGGGTTACAAAATTGGTGAATCAAATCAAAGTATGTGGAGAAGTGTTGACATCAAGATCAGTTGTTGCAAAGATCTTGAGGTCATTAGCTCCAAAGCTCAACCACATGGTACTAGCCATAGAAGAGTTGAAAGATTTGTCAATATTGACAAAGGAATAACTTCAAAGAACTCTTGAATCTCATGAGCAAAGGATGGCTGAAAGAGATGCGGGAAAGTCGAAGAGTGATATGGGTTTATAGGCGCAACCAACAAAAGAAAAGAAAGGCAAAGGAAGTTGGAATAACAACAAAGGCAGAGGAAACTACAACAACTCGACTGGTCGAAATCAGCAAGAAG